TATTTTGCAGTAAGACCGGTCACTATGATATGGAATATGACTTCTGATGGAGATTCAAAATACTGCATCAATATCACAGGTAGAAATTAAACATTATATTAATAAGATCGTAAAATTTTATGAATTCCCAGCACAGATCTTTATTTTGTTGCTCCCCAGAACTACCATTATTCAACAGAAAAAATATACTAACAAAATTGATAGATCGAAAGTAACTTAACTCATTTTGTTTTTCATAACATATTGAAGTTAATAGCGATGATTGTTCATTTTTATTGTCAATATACGAAATATAATAAATTTTCGGAATTTACATAGGACTGGAAATGGAGGGACACTTACATAAACATAGGTGTAACCCTGGTAAAATACTAACAACATAAGAGAGAATATCTTTCTAGTAAGTCAGGAGTCCTGGGTTCGAACCCTAGGTGAGGTATTGAAATGAAAAATTACCTCTGTTAAATAAGCAACATATGAATCTCACACTTTCTCTCACATTAATTCTCGTTAAGAGTGTTGTGAAATAATCAATTGTTCAGATATAATTATCAAATAACTCGAACAACTATTGATTGGATATTGTAAATATTAGTTTTATCATAAATTCATAGATTTTTTATCAAATTCAAACGTTCTTTGATCATTGTTTTATATATATACATGTTCACTTGTACCACATTTAATTTTATTTCGATTATCCTACGATCTTTACCAATATCATTGACAGTTCTCGTCATATTTTCAGGATTAGTCATAAACCCAAATGCTACTTTGACTATCACATGCAGTAAGCCTGAAGTTATAACATCACCAACGTCCTCCTCCTCCTCCTCTTCCACCACCACCACAACAACAGAAACAACAACAAAATATGCATCACACGCAACTGACGTCATTAGGGATGGAAAAACAACAGACGTTAATATCAAGTCAACGCCTTTAATTCTAACGACCACAGATGCTGATACGACAGGTATATCAATGTGAAAATTAAAAGTAAACCACAATATCATGAAATTTTGTTATAAACTCGCTTACAATTATAAACCTATATATATCAATTATTCATCTGCATATCTTCAAGCTTTTCGCGAGGATGTGTGTGTGTGTGTGTGTTTTTAAATAGTTTGATTTCTCTGAAAACGGACGAATTTTATTGACTTAGATTTATTTGACGGGTGTTGTCGATGAAGCAGAAGACGCTTACTCTTCCGGAATATCTGGTCTTATTCTCCTTGTACTTTTTAGGAGTTTCCATGTAAATCTTTCTTTTGTTTATAGTTTGCCTTAGTTGTATTGAATTTGAGTTTGGATTATGGTTATATTGACATGTTGGTATTTTCTTGTTGTTTGTTGCGTTCCAGTATGTAGTCGCAGCTGTGACGAAGAAGGCTATGTATACCTACCTGGTCAGTACGGTATTGTGTACACACTTATATGTATCTACCACTTATCATAGTTCGACTTGCTTTTATATGTGTGAAACGTAATAATATTTTAAACAAGAGTAATTAACATACTTTTAATTAAATTTAGTTGAAAAATAGGTCAGGCGTATCATATCTTAGAGCTCTCTGATAGATGTAAACATCTTTTCCGAAAATATTTCTTAAGAATAAATATCAAAGCATGTCTGTTGATAAAATGCGATTTTTTTCATATTTGCTATGACTATTCATGAGAATATTAGAATGTACCTCGTCATGATGTCTATATCTTGATTTCAGTGTACGCTTTCGTCATCGTCATAGTTTTTCTGTGTCTTACTATTATATATGCGGCGATTGTCACATTCCTGTATTTCAGAAGGTGAGTAAGAGAAAATATGAATAAAAATACACCCACAAACATTTCCTAAGCTTAAAGAAATAGCTAAGAATAAAACTTTTCATACTATTAAAAAGATTTTGCGTCGAAAACACTATTTTTTATGTTTTATGGGTAGTCGGGCGGCGCAGTGGTAACGCACTCGCCTTTTACCAAGCCGTCCGGGGTTCGATTCCCAGAATGGACGTGGAAAAGTATGGGGCTCATCTGTCTGACCATGTGCACTTCCATACGGGCTAACAAGAGTGATTAACATAAGTTGGAAAAACTTGCTTCAAAATTGTTGTAAAATAAATAAAGATTATTATTATAATGTTTTAGTACTCAAATTGATTTTACAAAAACACACAAGTGTTTATAACCTTTGAATACAGATTCAGCGTACATAGAGTATATACCAACTGATATATTTTTTCTATATCATAAAGTTTTTTCGTCCTGCTAGGATTCGAGAGTGACGTTCGGGTATAAGATGTTGAAAATACATCTGACAAAAAAAGACAATCGAAATCGAATAAAATTGATTTTAGAAGGATGAATCAACAGATAACGAATTTCTTTGTCGTAATTATAAGTCACACATATGACAAATGTGCGTTTATTGGCTAACGGTTTTAATTTTATTCAAAATGTAGCTTTTTATTCTTTACGTTTTGTAGGTGTGTGACGTCAAACAGACAGCCGTATATCCACAAAAATACAGAAACAGCATCAGAATTGAAAACTGACGAAAAGTACGAGAACATTTCTGTACTACCAATCACAGATAGAGCATACGAACCTCTGGAGTTGTCTCAAGTCGGTGTGACATCAAATGTTTATGACGATCTCCATTCTACAACGTTAACCCACTAACAGTGACAATATGACTACTATTTTATAAAGTGTCTTATGATGATCAATTTCTTTAGAACTCTCTGACCGCCATGCGAATGGAAAATGCGGTATTATTAAATTTGTGTGTCAGTTTTATCATTATTATCAGAAATGTTAAAACAGGGAGACTCAAAATATCTGATGGTGATAATTATTTAATTTCCTCATATCCGTGATTTTGTCATCAATTTACAGATAGGTTTCTTTGTTTTAATCATTCCTGATTTTGAATTGATGGCACGGAACAAAATATAGAGTAAATACGGTGAAGGAAAGTGTCAGCAGAGAGTATATTGTCTCTGCCAGTGTGAAAGTTTATCAGCAGGTCAAACTCCATTTGTAGTTTTATAAATTCTCAAGTTTGTAATTTCCTATTTTTTATTTCCTTTTTTTTCATTTGAGTATTTTGTCTCTATTGTTCTCGGTTTGTGTTCTTCTCCAACATTTTTTTATTCTTCTGTGGAAAAAATATTTTTTAAAATTTTTTAATCCTGACAATACAAGTGAATTAAAAGTGAAATATTATACACATGAAATGCAAGCAGTGCTGTATACGGTGACAAGCGTGAACCGACAGGAAATGATTAATTTTCAATACATCCAGATTTGATGAAAGGGTGTTCATTATGAATAAATGACTATACACATAACAGTATGTTATACAAACAGCACTTAACTGTAAATTATTGTGCAGTTTTTAATTTGTATAAAATAATTTCAACCTTGTTTAATGTTCATGTCCCTACATAGTAGAAAATGAAACTTCTATCACAAGTGTTTTTTTTATAGTAACAAAGACGGATATGAAATTACCAGAAAATGGAAGTCTTTTGAAATTTTATATACAAATCTCAGGCCAAGATTAGTGTTTGGGAAGAATGAATGTACAATATCTTACAAGATTGTGTAAATACGACAGAGGACACTGCCGGTTCATGTTTAAATCGACAACGAGAAACACAAGTATTAATCAAACAAGTTTTTAAGAAATGTTGAGCAGGAATGCGGAAGTATACTCAACATGGGTTTTCCTAAATAACGATAACAAAAAAGTTTACAATATTCTTGAGTAACTGTGATGTGTATATGTTACAAGTCATGAAGGGTAGGGAGACATTTTATGATAAACCGATGCAATTGACAATCTTAATGAATACTTGTTACAAGTGTCTGCTTTCACATAGCTGTGTATTAAGATGTTTCTGTGGAAAGTGAGATTCTCTGTATTCAACAGTTTATCAATACCCTGCATAACATGTTTCAAATTCCTTCAACTACTGGAATAATGATTTCAGAAATGCACCTACACTTAAATTTTTATTTCCAGGTTATATTTTAAGTGAAATACAGCACAGAATGTTATGGAATGTGTTCTATGTAAGTAACATAGCACATTTGAAATCGGACACAAATTATTTGTGTTGTCAGCTCTATAACGTTTTAGTTATATTATACATATACCCGTATATTTTAACGTGATGTCAGACCTTCTTGTCATGTACATTAACTGTTATGTATTTATGTTACAATTCATGTAGGGTAGGGAGACATTTTATGATAAAAATAGATTTTAACATTTGATAGATACACGCTTAAATTTTTCCACAGCCTGATTAAGTTCACCAGTCTCATTTTTTCCATCATTATGAACTATTGATCAAAATTACACTTGATATTTGGTAGGAGACATTTGCAATATATAATATATCTTATGTACATTGTTACTAATATCAATTTTCAACATCATCAGACATGATATACAATGTCGTATTGTATGAATTTATCATATTTTTTATTTATGAATGGCCATATCTACAGAAAAGTAAATTCATTTTATATAGCTATGGAATTAATTGTGAAAGATAAAAAAAAAACGATTAATTAAAATAAATAAATTAAAACCAATAGCATTGAATGGATTTCCGGGTGCAGTCTTTCTTGGGCTAGAAACAACGACAACGACGACGAAGACGACGACAACAACAACAACAACAACAACAACAACAACAACAACCCACGAGAAATAAAACCGGTTTTTAAAATCCAGCACATTTGACATCTTACGTCACATATATACATCCGACAGAACAATACACATGTAACCGTTTAATGTAAGGTTACACACATTTGCTGTACGCTGTCATGCGTGACCAGTCCTTAAACTACACAAGGAGTCCTCCACGAGTGTTATTGTTATGTTCACAATGTATAACGTGGTGAAGTAGATCTTCCGAGTGTGTTGAGGATTCAGTCAGTGTTGACGATCATCATCAGTGTTGTGTTCCACACAAAACTTACTACAGATATCACAAACAACGTGACTATGATGCTGATGTTCTTTATTCTCCTTCTCTGTGTTCCGGGTAAGTGACAATGATTTGTTTATCTATAATTTGCAAGGCTACGACAACACGGAAGTAGAATGTGTTCATAAAATGTCTAACTGCTGTTACGAAATTTAAAATGACAGGACTCAAAATAAATTAATCAAATTTTAGCCCCGCCGAAGAAATAAAAATAGATAAATAAATAAATAAACAAACAAACAAAAAATCTTTTTAAACTAGTTGTGATTATATTTTCTTGTTTCTGGTACCCATCCTCTTTGTTCTCACCATTTTGACCTGTCTGACTAGAATTGTTTCATTTCTTCGATATCTATACCCAGCAGCCGGATTAATACTTCGTCAGTGTTGTTGTGTTTGAGTTAATGTCATGTTTGTGAAGTCATTTGAGGAATTGTTACGTCATATCAACATTAATTTGTAATAGTATGATAGTATGCACATGTAAGTAAAGTGATGCTTATCATGTGATGCCAGGTAGCAGTATATCCTCTAATATTTAAAAAAAAATATTTGACACTGATTCTGCGAAACAAGTTTGTCGATAAGATTCTCTTTCAATTAAGAACATTTCGATTAAAATGATGACAGAATTTACTAGGATACACGACACACTCTAGTAATTATGTGTGAGCAATGAAAAGTCAGCGACACGTAAAGGAAATAAAAAACATCAAGGATGTTAAATGATAAGATAAAATATTACACATGTAACCTTCACTTAGGAAGTAATACAACACTTAAATATTCACTTCTGTTACTAAGCGACATTACCATCAAACCTGAATATAGTTTTGCCTGCCTGTAGCGATATCTGATTTAGCGACATCTGTCTTTACTGACATCTGCCTTTAGCGACACCTGCCTTTAACGACACTTGACTTTAGCGACACCTGACTTAACTGACATCTGCCTTTAACGACACCTGCCTTTACCGACACCTGACTTGACTGACATCTGCCTTAAGCGACACCTTACTTTAGCGACATCTGCCTGTAGCGACACCTGACTTAACTGACATCTGCCTTAAGCGACACATGACTTTAGCGACGTCTGCCTATAACGATACCTGCCTTTAGCGACATCTGACTTTAGTGACATCTGTCTGTAGCGACACCTGACTGTAGCGACACATGACTTTAGCGACATCTGACTATAGTGACATCTGCCTGTAGCGACACATGACTTTACGACTCATGTCTGCAGCGACATCTGCCTGTAGCGAAACCTGTCTGTAGCGACACGTGACTTTAGCGACATCTGACTTTATTGACATCTGCCTTGTGCAACACCTGCCTTTTGCGACATCTGACTTTTGCGACACCTGACTTTGGCGACAACTGCCCTTAGGGAAATCTGACTTTATTGACATCTGCCTGTAGCGACAGCTGACTTTAGCAACATATGATAATTTCACCATCCTTTCAACGTTCTACATCATTTAAGAATGAAATCATAATCCCCGCCATTCCAGTATAGACAGATTTCACTGTTCCTATCAGGAACAATATAATGTAGATATATTAAAACTGATGATATTATAAAAAAAAACATACACGGCAACATCTACCATTCTAATGGTCAGCACACCTGTTGAAATAGCGTTCGTTTTTAAATAGCTGTATCGCATTGCTACGTAAACAGGAAAACGTTTGCTCTTTAGTATAGTCCATTTCTTAGTTACTGTTTAGCTTCACCAACATCTTTGTACAAAAGCTTTTGGTTTATACTGTTTTTATTTTGTAACATTAAGTAGATGTCATTAGTTATAACACAGTAATATCATAAAGGACCAATTATACTTGCGCTGTCATATACGTGAACCGGAGGGGACATATCAAGATGGCCGCGAGTCAATAAAATTGATTGCTTCTATCGTGTATATTCGAGACAATTTTTTACCAATTCGTTCCACACACCAGAATATCAACATAGGCAAGTATTTGCACTAAAACTAAGTTTCATCGGAAATCCGCATGGTAGATAGGATTGGGCGTCGTGGATATTTATCTTCCACCCCGATTGGCGTCACATCAGCTGTATAACCCCCACCCCCAACCCCACTCCCAATATTGTTAAAGTGTATTGTTTATATTTCCACCCCGATTGGCTTCATATCAACTGAAAATTAGTCTGGTAAAAGATTATTGTTTATATTTCCAATTTCGAATATCTGTAAAAAAGTTCAAAACAAAACAAAAGCAATGAATACGTTGTTTAAATTTCCCGCTTAATCAATACTGACGTCATCGAGTTCAAATCCGAGAACCGCAATAATATAGTTCCTTGTGTCATCATCAATAACATTTTTATCAAATATTATAACTACAAATTTAACTTGATTATCGATTTAAAAGTGTAAACAATTGCCGCATTAAAAAACACATTATCTTACCTTTTTCGTTTATTTGAATTAAAAGCAGTTTTTTGCGCATTGATATATCATCATATGATGCGGCTCTCAATCGGATCTTCGGCGATCTTTGTTTTCGTGTCACGGAGTGGATTGATCCGATTTTTAGAATAGAATAACCAAGGAAATTATAAATGGAAGTCGATCCTTTCAGTAAGTGTCGACAATTTTGTTTGTGACGGATTTTACATTTGTAATTTTGACTGTCAGATCGACGTCTACAGCAGCAGACGAAGTTGACAAACTTAGTAATCAAGTATGTTATGACGATAATAATGATTTTGTGGCAAAATTAAGTCCAGCAACTTCGGACATTTCAGTACACTGTGTATTGATACTGAAGTGAAAGTGACCGATGGCCAGTTTTGTTTACCTAGGATGCATCTAGATTTTTAATTCCCACACCGACCGAATCACTATACAACTATAGTATACTGTCTTATTTACTACAATTTGGCGTATCGATAACAGATAGGCGAATGTAACACAGAATGTAAGTATAACATTTATATCTACCAGGATTACTTTTTGATAGACGTCTCACCTTGCCCACCGAATATGTATTTATAGGCTTGATCAGATAGGCGTTCATAGCATGATAAACTCACATCTTGTTTACTTAGAAATAGCGGGAAAGTGGTGGTAGAGTGGAAAATATAAGTTTTTACTAAATTTAAAAATTCCGATATTTCACTAACAAAAATTTTACAGATCACTTTTTGGTATATTTCTTTTGAAACGAAAGGATAAAACGATTAAGTTTGAAATAACGTGGTATTTTTTTCAGATACCAATGAGAGCGAGTGTTCGGATGCTGCAGAAATGGAGAATATACCATGTAAGTCATGCCTATGGCGCGGAATGTTCAAAGTTTCTGCACAGTTCAATAGTGGCTTATTTAAACATTTATATTCCCAAGAATCATACATAATTCATTAAAATATTTGACATATCTGCAAAAAAAAATATAGTAGTGAAACTATACAATGTGCTCCTGTTTGTTGTTTTATTGGTACATGTAAATGAAATTTTAATCGAACAATGTTTTATACTCTAAATCAAATAACCCCTCTTTACTTTTCATGGTGCACAGTGTAGAATTCCATATATGCATATATATTACATGACGCCTGCGTAAGTCCAGGTGGACCATTCGGTCCGTTTATTCCAACATAGACACACGTACGTACAAGACGAACTTTGCAATGACAATACACAAATAACATTAACAATATAACAAATATTACACACGCAAAACGTGCATATATCACTTTGACAAATAGATCATTTAACTGTATACTTGCGACACTAGTACAGCATTGAGTTATATTGAATTATATTAAACAGTTGTTACATAATTCCATTACAGATATAGCGAATAATAGGAATATAAAGATATTTCTATGAACAATGCGTTCCTAGTTTATTATTTACAATATGAAGTAAGTATTATAAATAAACCTGAATACTATAAGTTATCTACATACTTAGTGGAATACATATACAATTAATTACCTGTGTATGGCACAGAGTTTGTAGGAACCTTGTCAATTATTTTACATATTGCGACCATTATGTATGGTAGGGCAAGTCTGTAAAGTTACAAACAAAGAAACTAGAAATCCGGACTAAATTAACTGTATCATTATGTAATTTATAATGTACGTATATCAAAAAAGGATTTCAACAGATTCAAATAATATGTTATTTGAATTCATTCACTGGTTTACCGTAGTTTTGTACCAATACATAACAATGAAACTATTTGACATCGAAGTAATATAAATCTTACTCTTTATAAATATAATAATTAAATACCACTAGTAGGAGAGTACAGGATAATAAAGATTAAACTTACGATGCTCGTCCTTTTCCGGCCGGTCACACAATGAAACAATGACCGGAACATAAACACTACCGCGAAATCGACGAGCCAATAAAATAAGACATAAGACTATGACGTAAGACAAAGACTAAACTGACCACTGACCACACGATACGATACTAGCAGACGATACTAGACTATACTCTAAGACGAGATACAGTTATAAACGGAAACTAATAAATACGAATGATCAATTAGGACGACAAAACAATTTACAATATATGACTAAAAGTCGTCCTTCTACAATATTATTACAGATATCCGGATGTGTGAGGACGGGAACGTGACGTCACACAGAGTGATAGTGGACACGCACGATTCCGCGGCCACAGGGGGGACAACTTGTTCTTGTTTTGCTGACGGTGTAGAAATCGTAAATATATACATAGCACATTTCGGCAATGGATTGAACCCAAATACATCTGATTGTGGCAGTGAAGTTTCGGTCATCGGAGTAACTGGCATAGATCGTGAATATAAATGTAACGCAATTCCGATAGCATATGTTGCGGTAAGACCGGTCACTTTAACATGGAATATGACTTCTGATGGAGATTCAAAATACTGCCTCAATATCACAGGTAAGTAAAGGCTTTCTGTAATATCTCGCGTCTTCCATGTCATCCATAATATATCATAAACTATTTCCTTTGTCCTTTTCTCAGTTCAATGTTTAATACACTTTGATTCACACAAATTGTATCTTACTTTGAATTTCTTTAAATTGACCCAGACCACAGAATATTGTGAGACTACTATCTATCGTCAGTCTCGAGATCACACGTGTATAATAACAATATGGGAACGCAAAGTGTACGGGAGAAAACTGTTGGCTGAATTTTGTCACTGAAAAGATCACTAGTGAACGTACACACCAGCGATATGTCAGTACTAATAAATCACGTTAAACTGTTATTGTTTCGTTAGAATTGCCAAATAGAACCCAAACACAGTTAAAACCGGCAGTTAGTTTTGTTACATTTGTCCATACGCCATTAATCACATTCCTAGTTTGATAGATATAATAATATTCTGTAATGTTTCATTCTTCATTGTAGGAAAGGTAATTAAACAAAATACCACTTTAACAATAACGTGTTCCAAACCAGAAATAATCACTACCTCGTCCTTTACAACCTCTGAAACGACAACACAAACAACAAAAATAACAGAGACCACTCCTACTACCAATAAAGTGACCACCACAGCGATGACCAATGTGTCTAACACTGACCACGTGACAACTGGTCCAACAGCTCCGACATCTAGTGTCCCTGTCGATACCAGTACGTCACTTCCGGCGGAAAGTTTCCCTCGTACGTATCCTTTGTACATAAATTTTAGATCAAATCATATTTCTGAAAAAAACATGATATTTGTTCACTTTATTGGTGTTTACATACTTTACCAAAACTGCTGTTTTGTTTAGTGTGTTTGGGTCATCATTGCTTAACGATGGTGGATCTGAAATGGTGATTTCTTTAACATGAGCATCGCCACTTAGATATTCTGCGCCAAGTATAGTTCGACTGTTTAAGGTTTATACATCACTAAACACAACACTTTCTAATGAGCTTGGTGATATTGTCAATGGTATATATTTTGTTGATTTCGTTTTAATGTCTCTGTTTTATTTATTAGTGATAATCGTTGTACCAGCTGCTGCCGGAGGGTTTGTTCTGATTGTCATCATAATAATCATCGCCGTCGTCTGCTGCAGGTAAGAATCACGTTTCATTTCTTCCAAATCCACATTGGAATTTGATTTTTTAAAGTCAAATGAAATTATTAGCAAGTATTAAAACGATTGTATTCTAATCACGCCAGACTTTTGCTTTTGATGAATATACCCCCCCCCCCACACACACACACATAAATAAGTAAATGCATGATAGGTATACACACAAACGAATGAAAAACCTTTCTCTCTAGTAGTATGAATAGAATAACTCGTGAAAATGTCCATATTACGAATCTGATATATTAAAGATAATTTCATAATTCAGTATATTTTTCATTTTAAAATTGAAATGTTTAAATAATTGTTTCTATATTTCAATTTGCTTCGGATTAATTCAGTATGATGAAATATTACTCATGGCAGTAATACGAAATGTAAAGCATACAATTTCAACTCTGGTAGTAAACAAAGTAGTAAGAGACGAAAATACATCGTCATCAACGTCGAGACTAAAACAATTTGAGTGCATTAGAATGATATACAGTAAACAACATTGTGAGGACACAAATACCCAACACATGTGGTGTCTTCTTATAAAACACGATGTTCTTCATCGCCATTGATATAATAAAATAAATGATTAATTAATTAATTAATAGATTAAAAATTTAAGAAATAGATAAAAATAAATTATTAGATAAAAAAATGCATAAATTGAATAAAACAGAAAGGAAATGTTTCAATTCCTCAGGGAACTGAACTTTAGATCAGTCTTCAAAATGTTGGTATTTATTTAAACTTTATTCTTTTATTCTAATAGTTTTTTTATTGGTTTATTATTCAGAAAACGTAACAAGTATTCTAAAGGAAGACACAGCTACATTGATGATACGATAGACCCCTACGGGACGAGCAATCCAGTGGCCAACAACGACAACGATGAGGACAGCGATGGCTTAAAAATAAACATTCTGTACGACACTTCCGGTCGTATTTCAATTAATGGTGATTACTCTTCTGTTCAGCTTCCCGAGTCGAAAGCACCGGAAGATGAATATGCTAAAGTGAAGAAGAACGTGCCCAAACAAAACGAAGAAATTGAACAGGACAAAATTGAGCTGTCGAACTTGAATGAAACCGGAAATGACATGTATGCTGTTGTAAATAAGTCCAAAAAGAACAAAAATACAGAGAATTCGTCAAGTACATCACAAACGGCCGAGGGTTTGGTATACGTGGAAGTCGATAAAGCAGCACTGAAAAAATCCGATCAGAATATAAATACATCCGACGGTGGGAAAGAGAAAGAAAAAGACAACACTGAATCTGATCACGTGAATTACGCACAGGTAGTTGTCACGTGATGCGCTGAACATGTGATGTCAATATCAAGTCACAGGGTATCTTATTTCTTTTTATAGATTGGAGCTATTTTCAAAAACTAACCAACAAATTTCGACGGAATTAACTATACACACTTATAGTGCACTACATATATGCAAATATGTATCGAAGAAAAATGGTTGAATGAATGAATGAATTAATTAATTAATAAGTCAATTTTTTAATTAATTAATACACATGTAAATGAATGATAAATGAATGATTATGAATGAAAAAGTTAATCAATCGATCAATCAATCGATCAATCAATCGATCAATCAATCAATCAATCAATCAGTCAATCAATCAAATAATCAATCAATCAATTGCCTTAATGAGACCGAACTATGTTAATGAAGTTATATTTGGCAAATAGGTCCACCTTTCTATTATGAACATATCTTTCGGATAACATATTTATACCTCGCTGAAATTACTGCATTGTAAAAACATTACACGAGAAACAGTTCTATTTATTTATTTTTGATGAAAGGGACACCTAATACGAACGTGCGACCATGTATATGCCATACTTTATGTAAAATTCCAATGGAATTTTGGGTCGCCTTTCATCTCAATATCCCTTTCAAAATTGATATTTAACATACAGTATGTTACTAATGTATAAAAAATATTATCTCCATAAGGACGCAGAGTTAACATGATTATGCTTCAACCTTGAATAGATTTGTTTAAGATTTTTAAGGCCTATCTAGAAACAACAGAAAAACGTAAGATTTAAAAGAATATAAAATTATAAAAAAAAAGTTAAAAAAAAAAAAAAAAATAAAATATGTAAATATTTTTGCATATCCTTTTCATTATATATGTATATATTCTTTGTGAAATGGATGCGATGTATCAGTATTTGTATAGGACAAATCAATCATTATCAGGGTAACCTATATAACATTACGTCACTGTATGTGATATATGAAAATAATACATTATTAATTCTATTATTTAATACTTGTTTATCATATTTCGTTTTCCAAAGCATTCTGATCTCACAGAGTTACTGCCCTTTGTTTCACTCTGCATCTGTTAGTATAGCTGTAAGCTTGACAGGAGATGGAGGCAGAGAATTGTTTTTACTTTGATTACCGTCGGTTGTGTTTGACATAACTCTCTCTCTCGACTGACAGGTGACCGTTATTGGAAGATGTCTTTGCAGAAACGTCCTTACTAAAACGGCAATTCTTTCATCCGTGTTCTTATTTGAAATCATCGTGCTAGAATGTTCATCTGCACGACAATGTTGTCATTGAAATCTCTCTGATTACTTGAAGAAACGTTCATGTGATTGAGAGGTAAGGGTCATTGCGAGACCGTATAAATGCACTCTTGATTTTTTGGGGATGTGCGCACCAACAACAAGAAAATACGGAAACATTAATTATGTTTTAATTCAAACCCAAGTTCAATGAATTGAGGGGGAAATGTAAAGGACGATTTACATGGAGATCCATGGAAAAGTACAAGGAGATTAAAATAAGATGTTCCGGAATGGTTGAGCGTTTTCTGATACATCGACAACAGCCGCCAAATAAATTCAGCCAGGGGCGTAGCTTCCATAGAAAGAAAAAGCCCGGGCTTACACATAAAAAATCTGTGCATAGAGTATGTCGGACAAAATTACAAAACTAAGGTTGAAAATAAATATCAGGGGTTGAAGTTTGTTGTTAAATAAATGAAAAAAATCTGTCTCAGAAAACGATTCAAAACATCTTTGAAATCATGAAATTCAGACCCCTCGCCTGGAGGACCATAAAACACGATTGTTTATTAGGTCACTTGTTTCTGAGAGTAACGTCATAAAAAACGGCGTACTTTTCTCACACAAACTAATGACGTATCAATCAGTTTCTGGTCACAAGGACGGAATATTACAAACATGGCTTATTTGTGACATTAGCTGCACAACTACAGCCTTATTAATACCGAATCAATGCAATCAGGGAATGCGAAAATGACGGTGTATATTCCCCGAGCAGAGTGTGATTTTTAGGATAAATAGTGTGTCCACGTTCTACTGGCCATTCTAAAGCAGTTGAAAACCCCAGGTGCGTGGTTCGATCCATTCCAGGGTAAGATTAGCTTTTTCTGAGTATCCTGTCCTGATTGTCGTGAAAAGCATGCGTCGGGCATTCCGCCTATTGTTCGGTGAGATAGTATTTAGCATTAACATGGCTACTGTTAGACCGATCAACTCATAAAAACATATTTTGTAAAGTGTCATATGAAAATCAGGACAGGAGCCGTTCGATGAGTTTCTGTATTTTTCAACTGATACGAATATACATGAAAATTTCAATTAAACATAGTCGTTAAGTAATAACTGAAATCTCTCAGATAAATTTCCATATACGATAGGTGAATACTGACCTAGACGGTCCAGGTTATGTGTTTTGTGTTGTGTTATGCAGTACATAAACTCTGATGAAAGTAGATACATTATTCGAATTAGATAGGACATTTTAACACTTCAAAGACAACCATGTGACGTCGTAATTCTTTGACGTCGGACTTGTATTATTTCACCGTGTTTTGTGTTATTTTTGGGTGGTCGGGTGGCGCAGTGGTAGCGCACCCGCTTTTCACCAAGACTTCCGAGGTTCGATTCCCTGAACGGATGTGAAAAGCTTTCTCCCTGGTTACTCCGGTTTTCTTCCACAGAATGACCCCACGGGCGATTACATCCGGGACATAAAGTATGATTTATATCATTTGGATGACTTGTTTCGCAATTGTTGTGAAATAAATAAAGTTAATATTTATTGAAGACATTGGCTTATGAAATGGGAAACCCGACTAGTTGTATAATGAATTGTTTACAGGGTTTAAACTATTTCAATTAGCTATATACTGTAGTAATCCCTTGTATTGACGTTTATGACGGACATACTCTTCTATAGGGGGCGGGCTGTATACTGTAGTAGTCCCCTGTATTGACCTTTATGACGGATATACCCTTCTATAGGGGAGGGGCTGTATACTGTAGTAGTCCCCTGTATTGACCCTTATGACGGACATACCCTTCTATAGGGGAGGGGCTGTATACTGTAGTAGTCCCCTGTATTGACCCTTATGACGGACATATCCTTCTATAGGGGAGGGGCTGTATACTGTAGTAGTCCCCTGTATTGACCCTTATGACGGACATACACTTCTATAGGGTAGGGGCTGTATACTGTAGTAGTCCCCTGTATTGACCCTTATGACGGACATACCCTTCTATAGGGGAGGGGCTGTATACTGTAGTAATCCCCTATATTGACCCTTATGACGGACATACCCTTCTATAGGGGAGGGGCTGTATACTGTAGTAGTCCCCTGTATTGACCCTTATGACGGACATACCCTTCTATAGGGGAGGGGCTGTATACTGTAGTAATCCCCTGTGTTAACCCTTATGACGGACATATCCTTCTATAGGGAGGGGCTGTATACTGAAGTAGTCCCCTGTATTGACCCTTATGACGGACATACCCTATAGGGGAGGGGCTGTATACTGTAGTAATCGCCCGTGTTAACCCTTATTACAGACATACCCTTCTATAGGGGAGGGGCTGTATACTGTAGTAGTCCCCTGTATTGACCCTTACTACGGACATACCCTTCTATAGGGGAGGGGCTGTATACTGTAGTAGTCCTCCGTATTAACCTCATGACGGACATACCCTTCTATAGGGGAGGGGCTGTATACTGTAGTAGTCCTCCGTGTTAACCTCATGACGGACATACCCTTCTATAGGGGAGGGGCTGTATACTGTAGTAGTCCTACGTGTTAACCTCATGACGGACATACCCTTCTATAGGGGAGGGGCTGTATACTGTAGTAGTCCTCCGTGTTAACCTCATGACGGAGATATCCTTCTATAGGATATCGTCTCTAGTTAAGCGTTAAACCTGTATAACCTCCCTGTTATAGTTTCAGACATGTCTTACATATGATGTTTTGCAATTATACGAGAAGGATAAAAAAGTTGCTTTATGGTCACCAATTATGTTGTCCTCGATTAAAACCCCGCTATCAAGACACTTGATACTAGGTGTAATAAAAATTGGATCAAGAAGTTTACTGTATCAGCAGTAACACAAGTGGACTCTGCAATAACATTAAAAAGGCTATGATTAATGGCTATGGTTCCTAAACTACTGTCACGAGGCTTCAAATCAACATCAAAATCACAAAGAATAACAACACAGCACAATAAAGACAGACGATTTTAAAAGACCATTCCAAACGTTGAAAAATGTATTACTTGTGTTTGGGGATTTGTAAAATAATCCTACCTTGATTTGTCTATCATGATACAGCACTTCCGCCCAAATATATTCAAGAGAAGCTTGTCCAAGCTCTCGTTTGCGACAAGCTTTTTATTCTATCAGAAAAGTAAACAAGAACACATCCACCGTCAGCATTACTCTCTTTAAGCATCAATAACGATTAACCAGAAATAGCCAAGGACCCATTTTCAACATTGTCATCAACATGTGTCTCTGTGAAGCACAAAATATCAAAGTCACTAAGAGTGGAATCGAGAAAAGTAAATTAATTTCTTATGCTGCTGACGTTTAAGTGCAGAAAGCTCAAGTCAAAGTTACTAAGGTTGTCAGGACCGGAATTCCGTTCAATATCTCCACTAAGAATTGAAATGATGAACAAGTAAGGATCATTGCTACTGTAGAATCCGTATGGATGTAGACGATAGTGTACACTTTGAAAGAACACATTGAAACATGTTAAAGTAGTTTCTTTCTGCAACATTAAAAGAAACAGAACAATGTACATAGGTTTAAACTGATTTTGGAAAAGGTTATAAGCATACAGTTACTACCATTGGACCTTCCGATCGATGTCCTGTACGCTTCGAGTGAATTACCCGTAATCGTGTATATTAATTAACAGAGAGTACAGCGAGTAATAGACACCAATCAGAACATAGTCGACACTGAATGACGTGGGTTCCGAACGTAAATGTTAGTGGTATGGAAGGAAAGATATAGAGGAGTCAAGAAAGAGAAGGAGTCAGATATGTTAGGGGGATGAGGGCATGGAAACAGAAGGAGTAGATATGTTAGGAGAATGAGGGCATGAAAAGAAAAGAAGTTAGATATGTTAGGAGGATGAGGGCATGAAAACAG